CCGTAAACACATGTTTTTGATACTTTTGGATGATTTAAACACGGATTTGCATGCTAAACAAGCTAAACTACAAGCTAGGATAGATCACTTACCAATTTGGAGCTTGAAAGGGGTGTTTTTGGATCAAAATTTGGCTTGTAGAGAGAGAGTAGAGAGAGAGAGAGTTATGAGGGGTGTGAAAAAGCTTCAAATGGTGACTACTCAATCTCTTATATAGGGTTTGAGTTTGTGGCCCGGTGGAAATCTACCCGATACCGACGTTAAACGGAGCTTATGGTCGTACCCGATTAAGTATTCGTAACCCGATGTGGTCGTGAATTAGAAACTTTTTTAAAAAGAAGGACAAGGGTGTTTCACGTGTTTTTTTAATGCGTTCCGACACTTACGAAGTCATAATAAAAGTCTTAATTCAATTAACCTAATTCAAAACGTTAACGAAACAATTTGATAAAGACGGGTTTTATTGACGGAAACGGGTTTACAATGACGAAATAAATTTCAGGTTGTCACACGTACATATGTGAGTTGTTATATAGATAAGGTCTAGTTTATTTAAATGATTGTAATCATTATCCTTGTATGTTACTGTGCTATATATAATTGATAATGGAGCCTACGACTATTATGAGGCAATTTATACTTTCTTATCATTGTTAATTTGGTATCAGAGCCAGATCCCTAGGGTTTCGATTTTACCCTCCACTTTTACTCACGGCATCTGGTTCTTGTTTAGATCATCTTCATTATGGCACCTTCTTTCATTAATTCTTCTAAAATCGCCACTGCCATCACCTGCAAATTAACTCATACCAACTTCCTACTTTGGAAGGCCCAAGTTGTTCCTATTCTTCGTGGTGTCCAACTCTATGGATATCTTGATGGAACAACAACTGTTCCTGTTGCCAAGATAACTGTGGGAACCAGTGCAGAAGCAAAGACGGCCGACAATCCTGATTATCAGAATTGGGTTGTTCAAGATCAAGCAATCCTCGGAGGATTATTGTCGTCTATGACAGAAGACGTATTGTCATAGCTTACTCGCTGTACTGATACATCAAAACAGGTATGGGATGCTCTCCATACAATGTTCTCTGCCCAACACAGAGGGAACTCAGTTCAGATCCGTACGCAACTCTCAACAACAAGGAAGGGCGACATGAGTGCGTCAGAATACTATCAGAAGATGACGCGGCTTGCCGACACTATGGCAAACATTGCTCACCCCAAGCTTGATGAGGAAGTTATAGGCTACATTATAGTCGGTCTAGGTCCAGGCCATAGGGACTTATTTACTGCCATCACCGTTCTCAGCAACCAACGAGAGGTGACACTACCAGAGTTCTATTCTTATCTGATTGCACATGAGACTCAAACTACAACAATGAACAAACCTACAGACTTCATCTCGTCTGCTAACAATGCTACAAGGCAGGAGTCAAGTGGATCTCGGCGCAACTACAGCAACAATGGGAGCAATACTTTCAACAATAATTATCGAAACAACTATCGAAACAGGGGCAGCAGTCGTGGACGTGGTCGTGGCCGTGGCGGTGGCAGGAAAAATAGTAGTGGTCCACGATGTCAAGTATGTGGTATTCCAGGTCATACCGCGTTGGTTTGCAGAAATCGATTCAATCATGCCTATCAGGCAGACGAGTATCATGGAGGGAATAGTGCTACCACACAAAACTACAACAATGACACCAACTGGTATATCGATACTGGAGCTACAGACCATCTAACAAGTGATTTGGATCGCTTGTCCATTCAGGAGCGATACCTTGGAAAAGACCAGGTTCAAGTTGCCAATGGAACAGGTTTGCATATTTCCCATATTGGTCATTCTCAAATTCCCAGTCTAAGTCGACCCATTGTTCTTAAAAACATATTACGTGTTCCCCAAATTAATAAGCATCTTCTTTCTGCTTATAAACTTGTTTCTGATAACGATGTGTTTATTAAAATTCACCCTAATGTTTTCTTTGTTAAGGACAAGGTCACAAAGAAAACGCTTCTACTCGGTAAAAGCAAAGGAGGTCTTTTCCCGGTGCCCATTACTCATACTTCTCGCATTCCTCATCAAGTCGCATCTAGTGTTAAAGTTTCATCTTTAGAGTGGCATCGACGTCTTAGTCACCCTACTTCAGCAATCGTTAAAACTATTTTAAAGTCAAATAAACTAGGTTGTTCTTTTGATAATATGTCTTCTATTTGTGATGCATGTCAACGTGCAAAGAGTCATCAACTTCCTTATAATAACTCTGTTCATATTACAACTTTTCCACTTGAGCTTGTTCATACTGATGTTTGGAGACCAGCTCAAGTGTCTAGTGGAGGTTATAAATATTATGTTAGTTTCTTGGATGACTACAGTCGTTATACTTGGATTTATCTCCTTAAACATAAATCTGATGTTGAACAAGTCTTTTATAATTTCCAAACTCATGTTGAACGTTTGTTGAATACTAAAATCCGTACTATCTAATCTGATTGGGGTGGTGAATATCATAAGCTCCATAAATATTTTCAGCAAACAGGTATCGCTCATCGCGTGTCATGTCCCCATACATCTCAACAAAATGGGATGGCTGAGCGAAAACACCGACACATTGTTGAAACAGGCTTGGCTCTTTTAGCTCATTCCTCTCTTCCACTTCGTTTTTGGGACGAAGCTTTCTTAACAGCCTGTTATCTAATAAATCGTATGCCTAGTCGCACAATACAAAATTCTACACCCATTACACGTCTTCTAAAAATCACCCCTGATTACTCCTTTCTTCGTAATTTTGGGTGTGCGTGTTGGCCAAGTCTTCGTAAATATAATACTCACAAACTTGCATATCGATCTAAAATGTGTGTCTTCTTAGGATATAGCTCAATGCACAAAGGGTACAAGTGTTTGGATATGAATACTGGTCGAATTTATATATCTCGGGATATGATTTTTGATGATTCACGATTATATGCAACCTCTTCTGTCTCTACCACACCATCTCCTAGGTCTGAGGTGGCATCGTTTCCTCAATCTGAACCAATTATCTCGAATGACCATTTGCGGAATTATGACTTATCTTTTTTACTGGCTAACCATTCTAATGCAGCTGCAGCACCATTAGCTCCTGTGGTTACCATTCAAATGCCGAGAACCACAACCAGTAATAACACATGTATCAAGGTGTCTCCACCAACGTCATTACAACAGCAGAGTCACTTGCCAAGAACACCAGTCATGTCGTCATCAGATCCCCCTGTTGTTGACACCACTGAAAACGCAGCTCCTGCTGCTACTGTTGACAACAATGACAATACAACTTCTACTGGTTTCGTTGATTCGACTACTATAACTGCCACGACTGACACTTCACCGGCCTCTCCTGTTCCAGCAAGTCCAATTGTTGGTGATGTTTCCTCATCTACATCAGGAATCATGACTTGAGCTCGTGCAGGGAAGACTTACCCTCGAAAATTTACTGATGGAACAATACTTTATAATCCCAATAGACGTGCCTTCTTTGCTGAACCTACTTCCTATCGACTGGCTTTGGATGATCCAGCATGGCGACACGCCATGAAAGCTGAATTTTCTGCCCTTCAGAAGAATAATACATGGGTTTTGGTACCACGACCATCTAATGTAAATGTCGTTGGCTGCAAATGGGTTTTCAAGCTTAAACAACATCCTGATGATTCTATTGATAAACATAAGGCACGTCTGGTGGCTCGGGGTTTCACTCAACAGTATGGAGTTGACTATCAAGACACATTTAGTCCAGTTGTCAAACCCACAACGGTTCGTTTGATTCTTGCTCTTGCAGTGTCTAGAGGATGGCATCTTCGCCAGATTGATGTAAGTAATGCGTTTCTTCATGGCTTCTTAAATGAAGAGGTTTACATGCAGCAACCTCCAGGTTTTGAAAATTCTCACAACCCTCATCATGTCTGCAAACTTCAGAAGGCGATCTATGGACTAAAACAATCACCTCGCGCATGGTTTTCTCGGCTAAGTGACAAGCTACATCAACTTGGATTTCATTCGTCGAAGGCTGATACATCTCTTTTCATTTTTCATCGTGGGGAATGATCTTATCTACATGCTCGTTTATGTAGATGATATTGTGATTGCTGGTTCCTCTCAAAAACTAGTTGATAAGTTGGTATGTAACTTGTCAACAACTTTTCCTATCAAAGACCTTGGCCGATTAAATTATTTTTTGGGGATTGAGGTTTCTCACAATTCAGGGGTAATCACTCTTCTCCAACATAAATATGCGTCTGACTTACTCAAACGAGCTCACATGTCGAATTGTAGGAGCGTCTCAACCCCCATGTCTGTCACGGATAAGCTTGCACGGGATTATGGAAATTATCTCAAAGAGGATGATGCGTTCAAGTATAGAAGCATGGTTGGTGGTTTACAGTACCTTACATTAATGCGACCAGATATTTCATTCGCTGTTAACAAGGTTTGTCAATATCTCTCTAAGCCTACCGATGTTCATTGGGAAGCAGTCAAGCGTATTTTAAGATACATAAAAGGCACGGTGAATACAGGACTACGTATTCGAAAGTCTAGTTCTACACTTTTGAGCGTGTTTACAGATGCGGACTGGGCAGGATGTTTGGACTACCGCAGGTCTACCGGAGGGTTTGCAATATTTCTAGGTCCAAACTTAATTTCTTGGAGTTCACGCGAGCAACCTACTGTGTCTCGATCGAGTACTGAGGCAGAATATAAAGCCTTGGCTAATGGTACAGCGGAAGTAGTATGGATACAATCTATACTCAAAGAGTTAGGGGTGCATCAGTCAAGACCACCGGTGTTATGGTGTGATAATCTCGGAGCAACCTATTTAACAGCAAATCCTGTTTTCCATGCACGTACAAAGCACATAGAAGTGGATTTTCATTTCGTTAGAGAGAAGGTGGCAATGGGTGCTCTTGATGTCCGATTTTCCAATGATCAAGTGGCTGATGGATTTACTAAGCCGGTCACTCGCAATATGCTCGAGCATCTAAGATACAATCTAAACCTTGTACCGATTAAAATTGAGGGGAATGTAAAGAGAAGCCTTAGAGATAACGTACATATGTGAGTTGTTATATAGATAAGGCCTAGTTTATTTAAATGATTGTATGTTAGTGTGCTATATATAATTGATAATGGAGCCTACGACTATTATGAGGCAATTTATACTTTCTTATCATTGTTAATTCTCATCCTCCGTCATTAACAACATTTGGCAGCTACGTCATCAACAACAGTTGGCATCAAATTCATCTCTCAAATTTCAAATCGGCGACGACTCTTCCTTTCAGTGGCCTCCCACCTATAAAATCATGAACACCGCCGTCGGTAATTCTTCACCGCATCGGACGCCATAAATCAAACGCACATGGGCTCTCTTTCGTCTCTTCTCTTCTAGAAAGTAATTTCCTGATTGCCTTTTTGTGATTGTCGTGTGGATGGTTCCTGAAATTCTATTTCATATTAGGGCTTACTGAATTTGTGCTTGCTAATGGCAGGGCGGTGGTGGAACTTCAATTTCGAGTCGATTTTGTATTTTGGGCGATGCTTCTTTAGACCTTATCTGAAACTTCCATACGGTCAATCGTTCTCTCCTACCTCTGCCATCATCTACGGTGAAACAAGCTTATGGGTTTCATAACTCGACGCCTTTTTCTCCGGCTGCGACTCGACGACCGTGCTTCAAATCTGGCGGCTTCCGGTTTTGTTCCCATACATGTCATTCCGTCTTTGAAGACGACGATTTCAGTCTAATCTGCAGTGATTTTGAATGCCAGGTGTTCGATGAATTGCTCAAATGAAAATCAACAGGTACAACACAAGTAATTTTGATCTTTCTTTCATTGATATATGGTTTTACTACATCGGGTTGGGTCTTTTGTTGTTTTTGTTTCTTTATACAGTAAATGAAAAACAACATTCACCTTTTTGCACAGACCAAGTGAAAATTTCTTGACATTTTTTTATACGAGCTGCATATACAAATGTTATATCAGATTTTTTTAATTGTACTCATGGTTGATGCTTATGAAAATATTCCAATAGAGACAAGTGGTGATAATGTCCCACCTCCTGTGAACACTTTTGCTGAGATTGATTTTGGGGAAGCTTTAAATTTAAACATTAGAAGGTGCAGGTATGTGAAGCCAACTCCTGTTCAAAGACATGTCATTCCAATCTCTCTTGGTAGAAGGGATTTAATGACTTGTGCTCAAACAGCGTCTGGAAAGACAGCTGCTTTTTGTTTTCCAATCATCAGTGGACTAATGAAATGGCAATTTGGTCAAAGAGCTTTTTATTGCTTCGCCTAAATGATTCTACCTTCTTATGTTTGTAGCCTTGATCATCTATAATGTTTTAGACTATATGGTAATCCATGGAGGCGTTATATAGTTGAACTTTGTTTCTATCTACCATGCATTGTAACAGACTATATGGTAATCCATTTGTGAGTTTATTCAATACATTAAGAAACTGCAGGAAAATTAACTTTGTTTGTATGTTTTAAATTTTTCTCTTTTCCTGTTAATCAGATGAAAAGTGGTGAGACAGTTGATGGGTGTGCAATGTTTTGGCGTTCATCAAGGTATCCCTTCATTATGCTATAACTTTCAGAACAGTTGTGAGATTTAGGCTTTTATACGAGATTTTAACTTCTACAAGATAGGATTGCTTTCTGATTTAAACAACAGTCATTCCAGTTCATAATCTACCCATTCCTACCTCTAAACTTTAAGCCATTGAAATGCCGTCTTTTTGATCAATAAGATGCATATTTTTTTTACTACAAATTTGGTTAATCCCATGTGGTTTTCTGTTTTTATAACTATTAATAGAAGTTACATTAGAGCATTGGGTGTGGGCAACTGGATGTAACACCAAATTGGTGTCACCTCATCCATAACACCAAGGGGGAAATGGTGTTCCACATGTTATATCATGTTAAGAGGTAGAGAGAGAAAATAGAGAAAATTATTTGATTGGTTGATGAAGGAGATAGCCAATCATCTTTCTTGTTTTATCTTGTCCTCGTTACCACAAGATGCAACACAACGAGTTTCAACGAGTAGGGGGGCGGTGTTCCCCTCATCACGACGCCGTTAAGGCATGCCACATCACCCGGTTGCTTCTCGTTTTTGGTCCATACCGTATGCTCTTATAAAACAAATATGACCGAAGCACCATAGGTAGAAAGAGTAAATGATCGGTGGAAAGGTTTGGTTTGAATTTATAATGTTTTTGTCTAAATAACACTATCAAACTTTTTTTTTTGTAATAACAACCCCTTTATTATGAATTATGTAACTTTTTATTGTTTTTAAAAGAAACCTTAAATATACAAAGCCAAAAGTTGAATTTTAATAAAATAAAGTTTTTTAAACAAATTTTCATATTTGTCTCCGCTTGACTTTTTCTTTTGATTTTCTTTATATTGTGTTTTATGTAGGTTGTGGACGTTGAAGATATTGATTCTTATTATTAAAATCAATGTCCAATTTTTTTATAGCATCCTACTTACTCCAAAAAATGCAAGGTACAAAGTCAATTTTATATCATCCAACGATGAAGATATTGATTTTTTTTAATTAATATCTGTTAAGTATTAAATCTTATTATAATCGATGGACCAGTTCCTCCAAACAATCGCCACAAGGCCAACACACATGAAGTATGTAATCTCAAAGGGTTGTTAGAAAAATTAAAGACAAATCTGGATAAGGGATTTCATGATGATAAGTCAGACATATAGGAGAGGAAAACTGTTTTTGGGTCAAAAACATAACCACGAAATAAGGATAGCTGCTTTTGGGTATGTATTTTATATGAAATATATATATATATATATATATATATATATATATATATATTTGTGCATATTTTGTTTGGGTATTCTATAATTTTAAGTTGTGTGCTATTGATTTTTTAGAGGTTTGTGATCATTTTGATGGTAGCTGTAGCTGCTTCTTTCACATTGCTTATAAAGGCAGAGGTAAGGGAAATTAAGTTGATTATTCTTTGATTAATTATGATGACAGTTTCCATATGCTTCAGGTTCTTCACAAGGTATTCAAATTCAAAGAATATTAGAATATGAACATGGTCAACAACATTCTTATCTTCTTATACTGAGTCAACTTACAGCAAAATACCTAAAGCTGAAACTACAGATGAATTCACCCCATCAAATAATTGTTTTGTCCAACAATCACATCCCAGTATATGAAATCGTGCCTGAATCGCAAGTTATGAATCACATATGTCGTTGTTTCTTTCATATATTTTTATGAAGAATAAACATGGTCTTGGTGAATCACCTCAGCCTTTATATACGGATGATACCTTTTGCTTATTTGTTTTTTATATCATCTCACTTTCATTTTTTCTATTACAGCATCGTACTTTGAAAAAAACACCCAATTATAACAACATATCAACTAAAAAACAATTTCTATTGCTAGAATTGATTAGAAACAAAAAAAAATCTGCACGGGTCTCTTCATTAGTTAAAGATTATTTTATTTATATAGTTCTCAATAGTATAAACTTTTTAAAGATTTTCAAAAGCCACTAAAGTTTTGTTTATATCCAGTTTAATCACCGTTTGATCTACCAAAACCACTCATGGTTGACAAAGAAAAGTTCAACACAACTTTGACCTGTTGGTGAGGTTTTATATGTTTTGTATGTTTTTTTGTTCTAAAAAAACCACTCATGCTTTAAAAAATGTTCATAAATACCACAACTAATGGTAACATGAATGCATTTCTTATACTTCAAATAACAAGATATTAATGTGAACATTCAATTATTTATTTCTTTGCATCATAGAATGCAAAACTCAAATTACAATATATATATATATATATATATATATATATATATATATATATATATATATATATATTATATATATATATATATATATATTCCAATCAAACAATAGTTTCAAACTTTAAGACCTTTAAAAACAATAACCATTGTTTCAAAATAAGTATCTGCAAATAATTATCCATTGTCACATAAATATAATGTTATTTCAACTACTTTTGACCATTATGTAATTTCAACAAATAGACTACTAGTAAATAAGATGTTATTTCACCTACTATCTTTTATTAAGAATACAAAAACAACCAAGAAACATATTTTACATTTTTAAAAGTGTTTATATACATTTTTTATTTTTGTCTACCGATAAGAAAATAATGTTGTTTATAATGTTGTTTGAGACTATATAGTTTGTTTGAATAGACAACATATGTATTAGTGAAAGGTTTTGAACATACTGTCTAATAACATATAGCAACAGAAGCATATATATAACAATTTTCTCGTCAAATGTTCAATAACCTACAAAGGATCCTACATTTAATTCTATTATTGTAACCACAAGACGAATAAGAAATACATTCCTCTTTGTTGACCAATAATCTTCTACCTTGAAATCTTGTTCTTGTCACCTTCCATGGATGCCAAAGATCCAAGGGACCCAAGATCCAAAGGAGAATCTCTATAATGGAATCACAAAGAACACCTTTTGAACAATACGACAAACCATGGGAGAGTGTCACGATCCATTTTCCGTCTAATTGTTTACACAGGGATATAAAATTATATATATATATATATATATATATATATATATATATATATATATATAATCATAATAAATACATAAAATAAATAAAATTTCTTTTCTAACTTTAGGGGGGTTTTGAAACTTAAATTGAAAGGAACTAGGGTGCAACATTCAAAAATATGGTCCCAAAAATTCATTTTTTAATTAAGATAAAATAATACTTTTAGATGTCATCCAAACATCTCAACCAAAAGTCAATACATCCATGTCATCAAAATTAGAGTAAAATAACATATGCGGAATCCCAAAGGTGCGTGCGATGCAGTCAACCCGAGCTCTTCCCCTTGCAACCGGAAGTACCTGAAACATAAACTGAAAATCATAAGCATCAATCTTAGTGAGTTCCCCAAACTACCCCATATCATACATAGATCACATACTGGGCCCCCGCCTGGCATCGGGCCTCGCCGGGCATCGGGCCCCGCTCGACATCGACCCACGCTTGGTATACAGATCTATTATTCTCTGGCCTCGCCTGTCGTTGGGCCTCGCCCGCTACACACATACAATTAGTTTCATATAATCATGCTAACACATATAATAATCATAAACCTTAACATATGTTCCAGTCCTCAGACCTCGCCTAGCATCGAGCCCGCCCAATATACATAACAGCACATACACATACAAGGGCCACGCAGACTCCTAGTATCCTAACAAAATCCAACAGGGTCGACATTGGTGCATTCGACCCGCTAATCCAGGGGTTTGAACCTCAAATGTTGAAGCTCACAGAAAATAATCCCTAACATAAAAGGCACACACTAAGTAATCATCCAGGTCCCACTTATGGCCCAATTCTCCAAATTGGGCCCAAACCCCTCAAATGGGCCTTAGCTTAAAGCTCAAACATATCCTTAGCCCTAAAACTAGTTTTCAGGTGGCCTACTAAGGCCCAAAGCAACAAGATTCAAGAAATGGCCCAAACCGAGGCCCAAACATGCGAAGACCACTCTGACTAAGTATGCAGGGCGTACTCAGCTGTACGCAACACGTACTGGCTTCATGGCTTGTACGCCCTGCGTACTTCTTTATTAAGTCACTTTTGCCATTAAGCACTTAATGCTTAACCAAAGGTCCAAATCACAGATCTAAGTCCTAATCCACGTCTAAACCCATAAAGTCACCGACTTTGTGACTTTACAAGACCCAAATGAATCCAAACTCAAAGTATAACATTCTTCTTTCATGAAAATGGCCCTAACTCATGCATGGATGGATTTCAACCCCAAAAAAGACAACTTTATGATTCTAGGACCCAAATAACACTAAGAGTGGCAACTATAAGCTTCAAAACGTCATGGACTCATAAAACTTCATCAATGGGACCAAATAGGCCCATAAACCCAAATCACTAGAGATCTAAGCAAGTAATCACCAAGTTCAAGACTTTATACCTCAAATGAGAGCCAAAAGCTGATTAGGTTCTGGATCTAATAGCTTTTACTTCACCAATGAAGCTCCAAGAGTGAACACCTTCCTTCAAAGCACCAAAATACTCTTTTAATGACCTTCTAAGCTCCAAAATCACACAAGGTAGGATTAGGGTTTGAAAGTGGGGTAAAGGGGACAGGGAGGCTGATGAAATGAGGGTTTCCAAGTCTATAAGGATGCTTATATAGTGGCCAACCCTTAAAATTATGGTTTTCATAAATCCTTGCATATGTTCCGCATACCAAGTTGTACGCCCCGCGTACGCATCTGGGACCCCAATCAAACCCTCGCATGAGTACGCTAAGCGTACCACTTGGTACGCTTCGCGTACTCACTTACCACCAGTACGCTCCGCGTACAACTCAAGGGCCAAAATGGGACAATTTCAATAACGCAAGGTTAAAAGAGAACTTACCGAGATTCAAGCGTTACAATACTCCCCCACTTGAATCGTACTTCGTCCTCGAAGTCCTCCGCCCCGAACAACTCTGGATAATGCTCTCTCATTTCCTCCTCGGGCTCCCAAGTCCACTCCGACCCCTTGCGGTGCTGCCATTGCACCTTCACTAGCTCTATGACTTGTTCCTCAAGGTCTTCGTCTTTTGATCCAAAATCGCCACCGGTCTCTCAATGTAATTCAGACGATCATTCACCTGAATATCCTCCAAAGGTACAACTGCGGAATCATCCACTTAACACTTGCGTAGCTGAGAGACATGAAATGTACTATGAATCTGACTGAGCTCGGCTTGAAGATCAAGATGATAAGCAACCCGGCCACCCGAGCCAATACCCTAAAGGGGCCAATATACCTGGGCCCAACTTGCTCCGCTTCCTGAACCGGATGACACCTTTCCAGGGCGACACCTTCAGGAGAACCATATTCCCCACCTGAAACTCCAAGTACGATCGGCACCTGTCAGCATAACTCTTCTGCCGACTTTGAGACCTGCCCCCAACAAATCGGGGTCCTACACTTTCTCTCGTAAAGCATATCGAAAGGAGGTCGATCAATGCTAGCATGACAGCTGTTGTTATACGAAAATTCTGCTAACGGAAGATACATATCCCAAATCCCACCGACATCCAACAGACACGCACGCAACATATCCTCAAGGGTCTGAATCGTCCACTCACTCTGGCCATCGGTCTGCAGATGAAATGTTGTGCTGAAATGAAGACGAGTACCCATCTCGTCATGGAACTTCCTCCAGAACCTAGGAGTAAAATGAACATCCCTGTCCGAAAACTACTGATACCGGTACCACATGACATGCCACAACCTCTCGGACATAGACCTCGACCAGCTTCTCTGCTAATATACTCTCCTAGATCGGAATAAAATGTGCGCTCTTGGTCAAACGATCCATTATGATCCAGATGGAATCCACTCCGCACGCAGTCCTGGGAAGCTTCGTGATGAAATCCATGATAATGCTCAAGGAGAAGTTTTTAACATTGATGAAAAAATTTAGCTTGAAGAGTTGGAAAAGTTGATGGAAGAAGAAATTCAGTCAATTCAACAAGTCAAATGTACAAAGCCACGAGTGAAGGAATCAATCTTGCCACTATTATCCCAGGGGACTTTGTTCCTTTTTCTCCCTTTTATTGCTTTTAGTTTATTTTATGCATACAATGAGGGTGTTGTATGTAATAAGTGTGGGGTATGGGGTCGAAAAAGTAAACTGCTAGAAAATTTAAAATTTTGAAAAATTTAGAAATAGATTTGAAATAATAATCTAAAAATTAAATCTAGTAATAAGTTAAACTTAAGTTGCTAGTGTTATATGGGATGATCCAATGTGAGCTCAAATGTTTAGTTGAGCCAACATATGTTATAGTATATTTGTGGCTTCCCAAATCTTTGTGAAAATTCATGAGATATGAAAGGTAATTTGGTAATTTATATGGCATTATATGTTTTGCAGCCTAAACCTGAAACCTATCCAGGAGAGTTTATATAGTCATTGCAGTTAGACTAATATCCTTAACCAATAAAGGTTTGAGTTAAGCTCCCTTGCTTAAGCATGTAGGAATTTAGCGAAAAGAGTGAGATATTAAGAGAGAGAGAGAGAGAGAGAGAGAGAGAAGAAAATAGAGAAATTACCGAAAAGTTGAAAGAATTATGAAGCAATCAAAGTATGAAGATCAAAAGATCAAAATGAAGAATCAAAAGTTGAAGATACCAAAAATCAAACAAAAAGGTGGTGAATTCAAAGAAATCAAATATCAATTATTCAAATAAGAGAT